AAGACACAGGTGCCCGGAACAAGCCGCCATGTAATATTCATAAAGCAAAAGCAATGATCAAATGTGGCGCCCCCTCCTCTCACAGCCTTCCATCTTTTCTTTTAACGTGTTCTATGCCAGCCCCGACCCAGCCCTCGCCCCGTCCCCCTCCCGCGCCTCCCTCACTTTGTCCGCCAGCGCCCTCCTGGTCTCCCACCGGGCCCTCTGGAATCGGTTCTTGCACGCAGCCAGGGAGCCCTCGAAATCTATCTCCTTCAGGCGGACCACCACGTGGCTGTACCTCCGGAGCTTGAGACCGAATCTGCCCTTCCCCATGAACATGATCCCCTTCTGGATGTTGGCGCGGTTCACGAAGGCCTCGGCCACCATCAGGTCCTCGGGGTGCAGGTTGTGCCGGATATTGGCCAGATTGGCCGCGTTCTGGATGACCTTCGCCACCAAAGGAGGCCCTTTCTGCTTCCGGGAAAACTTGAGCTGCATGAGGGCCTCCACGACGGGCAGTCCGCGCACTTGCCGGGTAAGGAGGTTGATCTTCCATGGGGACATGCGGATCCTGTTCTTGCGGGACACTACCTCCCGCATCTCGCTGTGGGTGCACGTGACGCGGGAATCACGATAAGAAAGATGAGACGCTCAACGATAGGTGAAAAAGACGAGTGAGACTATGCGTGCAGGGATGCCTTCTTCGCACGCCCGCGGCACCGAGGGGACAAGGGAGGGGGGCCGTCCCGTGTGGTCACGCTTCAACCCGTGACTCGGCAGCACAGCGCGTGTTAATGTGTCCAAAGCGGCCCCGTCTCGGCACTCGGTATATAAGCACAGGAAGGGTCTTGACCCAGGGCCCCCTCGGATTCCTCGATTCACAATAGCAAATCGCTCCCTAGAACGTACCGCGACACAATAGGCTCATCAAGAGCCCCAGATGGCGCAACTCCTTCAACTGCAGTGGAAGACATGGCCCGCTTATTCACGGCAACACACGGCGCGGATGACAGCGAGACTCGCGACTCGCATTCGAGGGGCCGCTGCAGCATACTCGGTGGACTGCGAGCAAGTGGTGGAGAGGAATACCGGCTAAAAAGGCGTCGCAGCATCGTCGATGCCATTGATGACCTGTGAGAGTTGATGTATAAGATTGTCCTATCCAGTCGTTTTTGGCCGTTTGAGGTGTCAAATCGAACCGGGAAATTCCCCTGAAAGCCGGGGCGGCGGTGAGGGGTGGTTGGGCCTCCCTGTCCCCCTCTCCCCTTCCTGGACGTTGCCTTCGTCCTTCGTCCTTCATGTGAACGAATCGATAGGTTCTGTAACCACAAAAATCCTTAAAATGAGAATTAACTTGCCTCTCTCATGCGTTCACGTGTGCTCTCGCTCAGTGGCGCGCATGAATGTAGGGAGACGCAGGCCGTCAAATGCAGTGTCCGCCCTCACCTCCCCCTCCTTCTGCTTCAGCTCGAGCGCTTTACAGGGTCAGCTTGGCGGCATCTGCCCAAGCTGGGTAGGGTGCGGCCCGTGATGACAGACATAGATGCTGGCAGGGTCAAGGCTGCGCAGGAGGCCACGCTTCGGGATGAGGCTTTAGTCATGCGAGTGGCTTCGGAGGTTGCACAGGCCCTCAAACTACCGGTTCGTTGTTTCCCCCCCGCTGTCCGCGCCTTTTCGCCAGTGTTTTCTGTCAAATGTCATGTCTGTGTATGCATGCACTAGGTAGATGGCATAAAGCCGGACGCACGTCTTCAGTTTGAAGAGGACATGGTCCTGACTGTCGTCGTCGGCGTACTTTACTATTTCTGACGTGCACTTCCTCGTTTCTCCGCTGGGCCCAGGGAAAAAATGTGACGTTAGGACGCAAACTTGTGCGGCTGGGTCTGACGCATGCGGACAGCGTGGACGGCTTCTGCGCCGAGGCCCTGCAATTGGCCCCCATCAGCTCCTCTCTTTTACAGGAAGTGCACCACACGCTCAGGCAACGCTACCGTCAGGCCTACGCCACGGCCGGCGAACAGGCAGGGGAGACGGCAGCGAAGCAGATCACTGGCGTAGGGAGGACCATGGATGGCTTCGTCATGTCTCCGGCCAAGCACCTGCCCGGTGGGAGCCAGCAGGCAAGCAAGGAGGAGAAGCCTGTTTTCTTCAAGCCGCAGACAAAGGACAACGCGAGCCCTGTGGAGCGGAAGTCGATGCTGGGATTGGACCGGCTGGCTGCCATGAAGCGCGCGGAAAAGGAAACGACGAAGGACACCTGGAGCGGGGGGAAGCCGGTGGTTAAGAAGGAGGAGAGGGAAGGGGAGGAGGGCGGCAAGGGCGGACCCCGCCCTGAGGATGCGGCGCGGAGAAAGAGCGACTTCCACAGGAGCTCGACAAAGGCCGCGGATCGTTCATACAGGCCTAGGCGAGAGCCGGACACGCCCTCGCACCCGGGGGGCGTGAACGTGGAGGCGCGGCGGGGACTGGAGGAGAGGGAGCGGGGGCGTGGTCGGGGGGG